ACAGGTTAAGCATGCAGAGGGATACAAAGATGGTGACCCTTAATATGTCTCAATCTTCCCCCAGGGATGTGCTTTTTAGTCTAGTGTCTCAAGGGTCAATGACTTGATTTAATTTTATATTTCTTTTTTGTTGATAGCTGTGGTAGTTACATAATCTGGTGTCAACCTGAGACTATTAAGAGTGAGGGGTGGAGTTTAGCTTGTCAAGCAGGCTGCAGTTTGATGACCTCATTTTGGAGGCACTATGGAGATAAATAGCTCACTGGAGGCCAGACCCACACACTCTGCTTCATCTCCCTGTGAGACATTCCTGACAAGGCACACGGAACAATGTGGATGGCAGCCACAACCTTGGAGCTGGAGGAGTCACGTGGAGACCCACACCAGTGCTGAGATGCTTCCACCACCACTGGATCCATAAGACTTTCCACCCACTGGCCTGTTATCTTCCTGCATTCAGCATCATCGCATGGCTGCGTGAGTCTAAAGAGGAATTTATGGACTAGTATCGACATAAGGGATATTATCGAACTTATGGACTTGATATGGACTGGGCTGGGATATTTTCTTAATGTACAATTGCTCTTTGATATAAAGCTCTCTTATGAGTGTCTCTGGATTTGTTTCTCGAGTCCACCCGGACTAACACAACAGATGGTATTTTTTAAAATATTTATTTCATTGGAATTTTGTGAAACTCTTCCAAGGGCATTGTGCATTATTTTAGTGAATGTTATGCAAATAATTCTTATGCAAATTAAGCAGTTATAGCCTGGGTAAATTAACTGTCTGTGCCCTACTAAAAGAGGACGGATCAGGCTAGGGCCCTACTAAGGGCCCAGCAGTGTGGCCAATATGCAGCCAACCTCATAGAATACCTCCTGACACAATCGCTGAAGACAAAGAGGGTGAGTAAGCAAATGTGGTGAAGAAAGCTGATAGTGCCCGGCTATCAAAAGATACAGCGTCTAGGGGTCTTAAAAGCTGGAAGATACACAATCGGCCAACTAGCTCAGAAGCAACAAAGCCCACATCGAAGAAGCACACCAGTATGTGTGACCACGAGCTGTCGAAGGGATTGGATGTCAGGCATCAAGGAACAAGATATCATGTCATTGTAAAGGTGGGTGAGTGCAGAGTGGAGACTCAGAGTCCATCTGGTGGCAACAGAACACCCCCCTGCTGAAGGGTTTTGGGGAGGAGACGAGCCAATC